TATTGTATTATACAAAACATTATCACAAAATTGCTTTACTCAATTTAAATGTTACCTTAACACTTAAACTTGAAGAATTAAAATATTTAATAGAAGATATTTAATTTAAATAGAAAAATTGTTCATGTAAAAACACTTGGCACTAACATTCTCTTAATCAACAACTGCTAAATCGTGTCAGGGTATCCAAAATTCTTGTCTTCGTTTCTCCTATTGTGTGCGTAAATACGACTATATATCTCCATATTATCAGAGATCTAGTTGACTTGAGAATGTGGCAACGTTTTATATTCCATCTATATTATCTCACATTCTTTCTCCTTTGCTTCAATACTCCTTTATATCTGCGACATCTCCTTCAGTTGAATTCTAAGCTTCACTTCACTATTAACTCCCTTGTCACCAGATATTAAGATTATTTATTTTTCCCCATATATTATTCCTTTAAATTTTGTACCATTTTCTTCTATACCTCAGTTAAATATTTCAATTCTCTTCCTGTATTAATAAAAATCATTCCTTCTCTGTCTTCCTTTCGTACGCTGTCTCTCGTTTAATCGCGTTGCTCACAGTTTTTAAGCGGGGCTGATGTAACTGGAGTGCACATACGTGCGCGCGCGCACGTATAATGTGTGTGTATGATTATAACTATTATTTCATCACTCATTGTATTTTTATCTTAGTTCTGGTTTTGTTGCTGGTAGGCTTTGTAACAGCAGTTTTGCTGATGTGCAAGCTTGCAATCATTTGCAAGCTACTATAGTCTATTGTATCATATTTTATGTCTATTACTCTGTTAATATGTAGTCTTTTCATACAGCTTTGCAATAAAGTAAATTTAATTAATTAATTAATATATTTAAGCTGAAGATGTGATATTATGTCCTTATAATTATTGCACAATGGTTAAAAAAATTTTCTTTCATAGCCGAAATATATTATGCGAATATATGTAAATTATGTAGTTTGTAATTTTCTTAATACATTTAACTCTTTAATTATTTCTTGTAATTATAATATTTTAATTCGATTTTTATTTGCCCTATTAATTTAATAACTTTATTTAATATCAAGATCCTATATTTTACTTAATTAAAAGAAAACTAATGTTATTTTTAGTCCATATGTATATATATTTTAGTTTTTAAAAAATTTGCTATTATTCCTCTGGATAGAGCAATGTTTCAGTTTTAAAAATCTGTTTTTTTTAAATTGCAGTACGATTAATTTTAATGAAGCGCAATCAAAGTCAAAATGCTCCTTTTTATTTAACTCATGAATAACTCAAGAACAAAAAACATTTTTAAAAAACGATTTCGTAAGAAAATCTTCAAGTTTTTACGATAGATAATTGAAAATTTTCGCAAATTTTTTTTTATACGTTTTTTTGACACATTTTTTTAGACCTACAAAGTGAAAAGAAAAATTTTCCTTTTTTTCAACTCGCAGTTTTCTATACGTAAAAATTACCAAATTCATGAACTCAAAAATTATAGTAACTTTTTGAAAGTAGAGATTTTAAGCTTTAAAACTTTTTTTAAATTTAAATTTTGTTTATTTTTGATGAAAATATTATAAAATGTAATTTTAAGCTAACAAAATATCGCAGAATTTTTCCTTCAACTCAATATATATATTCCATACATCAAAATTTAAAATTAATATACAGGGTGACCCATTTTAATCTATCACCCTAAATATTTCCATTCCCTTGCATTTAACAAGAAAATGTTTCAGACAAAAGTTATATGGTCTCAAGGGAGCCATAAAATGGTACTGGTTAGTTTGACCTTGGATAGGTCCGCTTGAAGATCACATGAAGGCCATCTTTAATTTTCTTAAATTAAACCCACTATTTTTCATTACGTATTCTTGTAGCTTATCTCGAGCTTTCTAAAACACTATAATAAAATATTTTTTCATCAAGTACTTGTCGAATTGTGAAGTTTAAAAGTTATGATACTGCTGGCATTAGCGTTATCCGAGATGTACCATGTGGAGGTTAAACGGTCAGATTTACATCTCTTTTGTGCGTGCGTGCGTGCGTGCGTGTAAAGGGAGGATTTAAAAATGATTAAGTATTTTATTGAAAATGTTTGAAGTCCACCTTGTTGGATACATAAAGCAATTTTTTATGAAAATTGTTACGTACTTTATTAAGAACAGTTGGTGTTATGCTTCTGAATACATTATGAATACGTTGTTGCATATTTTCAATAGTCGTCGGCTTAGTACACTTTTTCTTTAACATATCCTCAGAGAAAAAATCTAAAGGCGTCAAATTCGGAAATCTAAGAGCTCATTTCTGAGTTTGGCTACCCCAATCTATTCTCTTTCGAACACATTATTTAAATAGTCTCTAACATTGCGTGCTCTTTAAGCGAGCGCCCCGTCTTGCATAAACCACATTTGAATACGAATCTGAAGATCAACATTTTCTAAAAGAATCAGAAACTGATTTTGTAAAAAAATTAAATAATTTTGTGCATTAAGGTTTACTTGATAGAAATATGGACCAATAACGTAATCTCCTACTAAATCGACCTATATATTAACAGACACATTGCCATTGTAATTCTTCATTCCGTTGCCAATGTGGATTTCTTTCAGAATAATAGTGACAGTTATGTTTGTTGACGCCTCCACTCTTATTAAATGTGGCTTTATAAGAAAAAAGCATATAACGATAGAATAACGGATCTCGTCTTATTTGATTTTCAGTTCAGTTACAAAATCTTATATGACGGATAAAATCCTCATTTTTCAATGCTTAGGTCAAAGTAATATGATATGGATGTAATTTATAATTTCGCAAAATGTCACTCGCAGTTGATTGCGATACATTATGCTGACGTTGAATTTTTTTCGTGGAAGTATGTGAATCCATCTAAACAGCAGCAACAGTTATTAGTGTTTTTACTTCGTCAGGTCCAACTTTTTGTTTTTTCTTTATCATTTCTTTCAGCTCTATTAATCACGTATTTTATTGTCACTTGCGTTGGATGTCGTCTACCAGGAAATCTCTCTGCATATAATCCTTTCGCAGCCTTATAATTGCCTCTAGTCTCACCTACGATATGTATCATATCAACGATTTCGTGTGACGGATAGTCTGCCATATTACAGAATTGATGAAAAGAACTTTCTACGTACTGAGGAAAATGTTATCAAAAGGAATCAATGTGATCTTTAAAAAAGTTTGGTCACACAAAAAAAAACGAAACTCGACTAGCAGTTTGGAAAAATATTAAGTTAAACCACGATGACTTGTTTCTTTTTAGAGGTCACATTGATTCCTCTTGATACCATAACATTTTCCTTAGTATGTAGAAAGTTCTTTTCATCAGTATTCGAAATTTATGCAAGACGGCGCCTGCTCAAAGAGCATGCAACGTCAGGGACTATTTAAATAATGTATTCGGAAGAGAATAGATTGGTTTAAGTAGACAAACTCAGGAGTGGCCTCCTCGATCTGGGTTTGACGCCATTAGATTTTTTCTCTGGGGATATAATAAAGAAAAAGTACGAGACTCTTCTGAGCCGACAACTATTGAAAATATGTAACAACGTATTCGTAACGTGTTCAGAAGCATAACATCAACTGTTCTTAATAGAGTACGTAACAGTTTTCATAAAAGATTGCGTTTATGTATCCAACAAGGTGAACGTGTCTTCAAACATCTTCAATAAAATATTTAATCATTTTTAAATACCCTCCTTTACACACACACACATACACACACACATACACACACACACACACACGCGCGCGCGCGCACACACTAGAAATGTAAATCTGACCGTGCAATCTCCATGTGGTACATCTCGGATAACCCTAATGCCGGCAGTATCATAACTTTTAAACTTCACAATTCGACAAGTACTTGATGAAAAAATATTTTATTATAGTGTTTTAGAAAGCTCTCGAGATAAGCTACAAGAATATGTAATGAAAAATAGTGGGTTTAGTTTATAAGAAATTGAAAGTGGCTTTCATGTGATCTTCAAACGACTATCCAAGGTCAAACCAATGGTACCATTTTATAGTCTCCTTGAAATCATACAACTTTTGTCTGAAACATTTTCTTGTAAAATACAAGGAAAAGGAAATATTTGGGATTATAGATTAAAATGAGTCACCTTGTATATATTGAGATATGTATAATATTCTATAAAATTTCTTTTTAATAAATGTATCGATTAAGAAACTAAGCTCAATGATTTTGACCTTGACGTATGTTATTAAGATTATGATCCTGAGTGACCTTCAATAAATTTCAGTCATCGCTTGTTCTTCATTGAAAAGTTATCAATAAAAAAATTTAAGAAATAACGTATACGATATCTCTTTTTCACCATAAAACAGAAATTTTTTGCTTTAAAATATATTTTACAACTTTTTACGCGAAGCGACTCCCACCCCATCTTTTTCCCTCCCTGCTTAGGGGCGCACGACTTTCATATATAACTTTTGTTCTTAGAAGAGAAAATTTTTTCCTGCTTTACTCTGCATACATACATAATTTACAATATGGTATTAGGGTTAGGTTATTATATACTCATGGGTGTATAATAACCTAATCCTAACTCTCCCTTAAATTACGTATTTACCCAAATTTTCTGCTAAAGCAGTGAACTTGTGTTCGCGTAAAAAGTCGCGCGGCACTAGGCAGTGGGAGAAGTGGAAAGTAGTAGGTGGATATAGTTTAGAACAGTTTCTGATGTAGCCAAAACGAGACGTTATTTTTTTCAAACTTTTTTTGTTAATAACTTTTTAATGAAGGACGAGCGTCGGCTAAAACTTGTTGGAGGTCACTCAGGGTCATGACCTCGACAACATATGTCAAAGTCAAGTTCATTAAAGCTTGGTCTCTTAATTGATATTTTTATCTTACTTTTTTAATATAAAAATCTTTAGTAATGTAAAAATATATCACATAATTTTCTTCGATTATATCTTATACATATGTTATATGTCATATCTTATAAACTTTTTACAGCAACATGTCAAATTTAATACACATGCCATTATCAGAATCTGAAAATGTAACTACATTGGAATGGACGCGTCCTGATCAAGTGATGCAATTACATCGTATGAAATTAAAAAAGCGTGCACTTCAAGCGCGTATAAATAAAACGAATATTAACACTGGCACTCAACAAACGACTACGAATTTAGATGAACTTAACTCTTGTAGTAATGTACTGCAACGTATATCTTACTGCCAAAAGCGTAAGAATCCTTTTGCAATCAGTGAAACGTGTAAGAAACAAAAAAATATAACGTCTGGATTAGACATCAGTAACGACAATACATTGTTCGAATTACTAAATATTGATGATCGAAGAAAGAAACCAACGGCAGAAGATTCAGCTATAAAAAATTCTTTAACTTTTGGTAATGTACTTTCAAAATTTGAATCAATTAATCAGATTCCAGAAATAAATCTCTCAAAGGGTGCAAAGCATGTTCCTATAGACTGGACATTGAAAACTAAAATGAGGTTTATGTCTTTGAAGCCTTTTCCATGGAATTGCAAACTCAAAACGAGCGAAGAGGCATCAGGTACTACAGGATTTGTAAGATGTTTAAATATCGGAGAAAAAGAGACAACTTTGGATACTAGTCCAAATGCAAGGTTAGTTTTAATTTTTGTCATTATTCTATTATTTGTTTTTTAAGTCTTGTAATAACACCGTTAAATATTTTTATTAGATTTCATCAGTGTTGTTTAATATGGCAACATCCATCTATACCATGGTTAGAATTATTCCCTCGCTCTGCTAACAAAGTGAGTGCATCTCTCGCAAATAATACATTGGCAGTAAATAACCAAAATATGAAAGATGCATTATACCGAGAATGGTGTGATAGCTTCAGATCTCTATTTCACTTATTGCGAGCGAGGCAATGTCCATACTTTTACGTGTGTGCGAACACATTTACAGTGCTCTTTCGTGCTGCTGGCATCTGCGGATTGTCGGAGATTCATGCACTTGTTACACCCACAACACGTGGATTCCGGCAGTCATTAAAACAAGAAGGTAGAGAATTTCATTTAGTTATTTATTAATAATAAAATATGTCTTTAATGGCAATATAAGTACAGCTATACACGTCCAATACAATACAAATAATGAAATATTAGCTATATGATGAAAAATAATCTTAACCTCTTTAAACCCTGTGTACATTATAATATTTATTATATATTATTAATAAAATATTAATAATATATATTATATATTATTAATAAATTTGAAGAGATTATCTATTGAAATACACACATACACGCACGCACATTCTTTAAAACGACCATATGAATACCTACATCAAATGACAAAGGACGCTATCAAAGTTAGATATTTTGAATAATACAATTAAATGAATTTATTTTAGATATAATTTCGCGTTAATAACTTTCGGACTTTCAACACAATGGACGTGTAAGCTGGATAAAGCGGCTAGCCTGCTCGTCGAGCGATTGAATATGATTGGTTGGATCTATAATTAACAACCAATTATGTTTATTTGCTTGGCGAGCAGGCTAGCCGCTTTGTTTCGACTTGAACGCATCTAATCAGTCTGAAATACTATTAATCCTTCTAAATTCCTCCTAAATTAAATTTAGAAAAACTGTAAAGAAATTATTGTGAAAAATATTACTTCAATCAGGGTTCGAACCTGAGACCTTTCGACTTTCCGGGAGTATCTTAGCCAACTTGACGACTTTGGAAATATTCCTCGAATAACTGATATATATAGAGAGAAATGTGTTATATGGTCGCGTATATACAATATATATATATATATATATACATCCTGTCAAAAAAGTACCGGGAATTGGTCAATAAAACACAAAATAGTTATTATTCATTCAAATTTATTGTATCGCCTACAAAGTAGGCTCCTTTCGAAATAATACATTTATGCCAACGAATAATCCAATCATCAAAACATTTTTTAAACGAATTTTCCAAAATCGACTTCAGTTCTCGACGCGAATTCTCTTTTATGTCTTCTATCGACTGAAAACGAGTGCCCCGAAGTGGTAATTTGAGTTTTGCAAAGAGAAAAAAGTCAGCCGGAGCCATATCTGGTGAATACGGTGGTTGTTCGATGATATTTGTTGAGTTTTTGGTCAGAAATTCGTTCACAATGATAGTCTTGTGAGATGGTGCATTATCATGGTGCAAAATCCATGAGTTTGTTTTCCACAAATCTGGCCTTTTTCGACGAATTTGCTCTCTCAAACGCCGCATAACGCCCAGATAATATTCTTTATTTACCGTCTGACTTTCTGGCAAAAACTCCGAGTGCACAACACCGCGACAATCAAAGAAAACAGTTAACATCACTTTGACTTTTGATCGACTTTGACGTGGTTTTTTCGGTTTTGGCTCAGTTGGAAGGCGCCATTCCGAAGCTTGTTGACTGGTTTGCATATCAAACTCGTAAACCCATGTCTCATCACCAGTTATAATGCGTTTTATGAATGTGGGGTCGGAATTAACTCGTTCTAACATGTCTTCAGCGACCTTTACGCGATTGAGTTTTTGAAGAAAATTGAGGTCTTTCGGAACTAGTCGAGCGGCAACGCGTTCCATGCCCAAACAATCGCGTAAAATGGTACGAATTGATTCGTGAGACACCGTAAGTTCAGCGGCTATCTCTCTCAAACTGAAATGACGATTTTCAATCACCATTTCCTTCACTTTATCGATGTTAACTTCAGTTGAAGACGTTGATGGCCGACCAGAGCGAGGCAAATCTTTCACCACATCTCGACCGCTTTTCAATGCACTGTACCATTCATATGCACGTGTTTTTGATAAAGTCGATTCACCGTAAGCCTTCTGTAACATCTTCAGCGATTCGGCACA